AAACTGAGCATGTGCAGCTTGCCCCCAAGGCTATGTTCTATCAGCATATGGATAAGGAACAATAGGGGAGGATCAGGGAAAACAAGATCAAACATCCATTTTACACAATGCGGAGGATTAGCCTCTTAGGTTACATAGCGAGTATAACAAGCATGCTTCACTGCATATACAGACGGATGTTACTTGTGGGTTTAGGAACACTTTAACCACCTTCCGCCCGCCCTATAGTACAATGACAGGCGCAAGGTGGTTCTCTCGTTCTGATAGGACGTCATATGATGTCCTACCATTCTCACTGCGCATGCGCGGCTCAGGGAGCACGCAGCGTGGCAATCGCTGGTGCGCTGTGTCCCTCGGAAACAGTGGATCACGGAAAGAGCCAAAGATGTCAGCTCGGTCATGTGATCAGCTGTGTCCAATCACAGCTGATCACATGTAAACATGGAAATGCCGGTTATCGGCATTTCTCTCCTCTTGAGCTGTCACGCTGACTGCTCGAGAGGAGAGGAGAGCCGGTAATCGGCATTCCGCGGAGGGGACATGTACACTGATCATCAGGGCACTGATGATCAGTGTGCCCTGATGATCAGTGTGGCCCCAGAAGTGCCACGTGCCAGTGCCCATCAGTGCCACGTCAATGCCACATATCAGTGCATACCAGTGCCTCGTCAATGCCACATATCAGTGCATACCAGTGCCACGTCAATGCCACATATCAGTGCATACCAGTGCCCATCAATGCCACATATCAGTGCATACCAGTGCCCATCAATGCCACATATCAGTGCATACCAGTGCACATCAATGCCACATATCGCTGCCAGTCAGTGCCGCCTATCAGTGCTGCCAGTCAGTGCCGCCTATCAGTGCTGCCAGTCAGTGCCGCCTATCAGTGCTGCCAGTCAGTGCCGCCTATCAGTGCTGCCAGTCAGTGCCGCCTATCAGTGCTGCCAGTCAGTGCCGCCTATCAGTGCTGCCAGTCAGTGCCGCCTATCAGTGCTGCCAGTCAGTGCCGCCTATCAGTGCTGCCAGTCAGTGCCGCCTATCAGTGCTGCCAGTCAGTGCCGCCTATCAGTGCCAGTCAGTGCCGCCTGTCAATGCCCATAAGTGCAACCTACCAGTGCCTCATCAGTGCCCATCAGTATCCATCAGTGCCCATCACTGCAGCCTCATTAGCGCACATCAGTGAAGGAGAAAAATCACTTATTTACAAAATTGTATAACAAAAACTAAGAAAAAAAACGTTTTTTTTTTTTCAAAATTTTCAGCGGTTTTTGGTTTAAGAAAAAATAAAAATCCCAGAGGTGAATAAATACCACCAAAAGAAAGCTCTATCAGTCTAAAAAAAAATGATAAAAATTTCATATGGGTACAGTGTTGCATGACAGCGCAATTGTCAAAGCGTGACAGCGCTGAAAGCTGGAAATTGGCCTGGGCAGGAAGGGGGTATAAGTGCCCTGTAGGCTAGTAGTTAAATAAGGAATGTTGTCAAGTGGTTTCGACATCTGTCATTAACTTTTTAATGGACCATACCGAGGATTCCACATCCCTACCATATCAGTGGGGAAGCCCTTAAATCAGTATCAAGAGTAGGAGACGTGACATTGTTCCTGTTTTTTAAAAAAAATGAGGTCTGTGACTATACCTTCAACCTTAGACCATCTGTGGTCTCTTGAATCCACCCATAAACAAGCTCCAACTCCAAATATTCTACTTGAGTTCTCGGCAATGAAATCTAAATTTGTTTAATTCATTCAAGGCTACACTTTCAGATAAGCCAGCCCTACGCAGTTATAAAATGTAGCAACAAACATGGTAGACTCTTGGCGGGAATGTTACACCCTGCATCTTTGGTGACATACATCGCTCACTTTAGAATCTCTAATGATGCTCTGCTCTACGATCCCTCCTCTATTCTTCAGGCCTTCCGCTCATATTTCCATGATCTTTACACCCGCAAGGGCCCAACGAGTCATAAACAGAAGAGATAAGGCAGTAGATAGTGGATACCCCTCTACCGCCTATTGATTCAGAGCCTATTGCAGCACTATAGGGAATACCCTGCTTGAAAAGAGATCAAGCCTGGATGGGTTTCCCGCAAAATTTTATGAGTATGAAGGAATTACTGGCACCCTTCCTAAACAAGGTACTGAATGCTCTTCTAATTACAGACCCATATCCTTTACTGGTGTGGATTTGAAGATTTATTCTAATTTGCTAGCTAATAGCAGGTATGTGCATTTCCTATAGTGAATAAAGGGGAGAGAACAATGTTCTTGGACAACTTGCCAGCCAGCTTGCTAACAACCGAATTAACCTGTCTAACAGTATGCGTTTATAACAGGGGTTTAGTTAGCACACATTTGCAAATACATACGTAAGCCACAGAGCCACGACACGGCACCCTGATAATCTGTGCATTTCCTATAGCCCGATGCCCAGGATAAGCAGTTCCGGGCACGAGGTTTTTCCTTATATTTAGCCCTGCTGCGGAATTAGAGCTGACGGCTCTCTTGCAAAAGAAATCCAAACGGCTAACTAGCCACTGGATTGCTTTAACTACTTCCAGACCGGACACTTTTACCCCCTTCCTGACCAGGGCAATTTTCAGCTTTCAGCGCTATCACACTTTGAATGACAATTGCGCAGTCATGCAACACTGTACCCAAATTAATTTTTTACCATTTTTTTGAGACAGATAAAGCTTTATTTTGGTGGTATTTATTCACCGCTGGGATTTAAATTTTTTTTGCTATGTAAATGAAAAAGTCCAAAAATTTTGAACAAAAGTGTTTTTTTAAATACAATTTTGCAAATAAATAATATGTAATCATAAATCTTTGCCAAAATTTATTCCGTTATCTTTTTAGTAAAAAAAACCCAAAAAAACCAAATTAGTTTATAACCAAAAATTATAATTTTTGTATTTCAATGGTTTTTATTAATTTTAAACAGTATAAAACAGAGGCAACAAAACACGCCCACGCAGGGGCTATCAATTGCACCGATAGAAAATGTATAATAGAGCAGACAGCGCTCTAATTCCAATAAGGCAAAACGTATGCCCACGTAGGGGCTATCAATGGCACATAGGTAACAATAACATCAGTGAAACTCAGATTATCGCAACTAAAGACAGCTGTCCACTGTCACATCAAAACAAACAGAAAAGGAAAGAAGAAAAGCAGAGAAGAAAGAAAGAGAAAAAACAAAAACACACACCAGAGAGCAAGGGTCCATGAGCGCCAATACAAAACTCCATCACCTCCCTACACTGGCCGGGGGGAGCGTGGGAAAGGCATATTGCAACCACGGTTCCCATATTTTCAAAAATTTATGTTGAGAGTCATTGCATATACTCGACATCTGTTCATTGAGCATCATAGTAGTCATACGATCCCGCACCCCCTGAAAAAGTACAAACGGACTCTTCCAGGCCTGGGCAATTGTCCTAGTGGCCGATAAAAACAAATAGGAAGCCAATCGCTGCTGACGAGCCAAGAGGCCCGGTATGGGGCAATGAAGCAAAGCATACCGAGCATCCCGGCGTATGGAGAGATGAAACAAAGTGAAAAGGAGGCCAAACACACGAGACCAAAAACGAACCAACCTCGGGCATGACCACCAGATATGCAGTACATCGCCACGATGGCCACAACCCCGAAAACATCGATCACTACAGGCAGGGTTAGCCTGGGCCAAACGAGCCGGCACCCAATACCAACGAAACAATACCTTATAGGCTGCTTCCAGCGTGGTCGTATTAAACGAACATTTAGCTATGAGTGACCAGGCTTTATTCCAGTCCTCCGGATCCACAGCCACTCCCAGGTCGCGTTCCCACTGAACTACATATGAAAGAGAAGTGTGCGACGAGCATCTGTTCAAAGCTGCGTAAAGAAGGGAGATAAGGCCCGGGGCGCCCGGACGCTGCTGGCAAAGCCGTTCAAAGGCAGATGTCTGATATGGGAAAGCAGAAGTGGCCCTCAGCGAGAGTAGCCAGTGCCGCAATTGAAGGTACCGAAAAAAATTCCGCTGGGGGAACATCCCGAGACTCCCGGAGGACATTCCAGGTGGGAAAGGACCGAAAAATCAAAAAGTGTCGCATCTGTGAGAAACCATGAGCCACCCACCAAGAAAATGCCCTCGGGTGATCTAGACCCGGCGGGAAAAGAGGGTTATTAACGATTGGAAGCAAGGGCAAGAAAGGTGACATCAGGCCACTGGAGTAACGTATCGAGTCCCAGACTCGTAGGCCATGGAGCAACATCGGACTCAGCACCGTAGGGCGCAGGGCAGGGGGAAGCCATAGAAGTGTCGATAGTGCGATAGGGGCACAATTAGGCAGTTCCAGCAGGACCCAGAGAGGAACATCGGAGGAAGCGTGCAACATAGACAGCGGGGCAATTTGGCTCGCCTGATAATACTTAGTTACATTGGGTACCCCAAGACCACCTTGGAGTCTATGAGCAAAGAGCGTATTTCTAGAAACTCTGGGATGCTTATTGGCCCAGATAAAACGCATAAACTTTGCCTGAAGCAACCGAAGAAAATGAGGGGGAACTTGCACTGGGAGGGTGCGAAAATAATATAACAATTTCGGCAAGATGGTCATTTTCACTGAATGAACCCGTCCTATCCAAGACAGGTGCGGAAATTGCCAGGAATGCATAAGAGAAGATAAGGAGCTAAGCAAAGGATAATAATTTGCAGCAAAAAGGGAGTCATAGGTGGGGGTCAAGCGAATGCCCAAGTATTCAAGAGAAGAGAAAAATTATAATTTTTTAAACATTTTTTTTCACATTTTTATATTATTGTTTTTCATTTATTTTTTACATACTGTCACCCTAGCAGTACAGTGTCACCATGGTGACACTGTACTACTTGTGGGGGGTGATGAAGATTTTTTTTTTTTTACACTGATTGCTTTTACACCCATATAGGATGTAAAAGCAATCATTTCTCTTTCTCTCTGTGTGCATTCCTGCACTCATTGAGAAGTACTGAGTGAGCTGTGATTGGTCACAGCTTGTCACATGGTACAAGGCTGTTGTGAATAGCCTTGTACCATGTGACCTCTGTGATCATTCACAGATTTCACACGTAGTAAGCAATGATGTCACAAGTGACATCTTGCTTACTACTTTGCATGTGATCACTGATTGGCCAATGATGATCGGTGTTTCACTGTGTCCAGAGGACACAGCGGGCACCGGATCGTGGTGCTGCGCGCTCCCAGGGAGCGCGCACAAGCAGGGTGCGGGGGAGGCCGTTTATAAACGGCCACCCGACCCTGCACTGCCACCGTCTGGCCGTTTATATGCAATGGCCGGTCAGGAAGTGGTTAACAAGCATGAGCTGTCCTGTCGCAGCAGAACAGCTGATCAACCATCTGGTGCTTCCACTGACTGATCATAAAGATGGACAAAAAATAGAACTGCTCTACCACCTCTATGATATAGGAAACAGGAAGAGATGAAGATGTAAATGGCAGCATTTTTAACAATGGAAAGCATTTGATCACACTGAGGAGGAGGGAGGGAACTGAGGTCTTACTGACCCCAGATCTCGCGATAAAGAGCACCTGTCACTGCCTATTGCTGTCAGGCATTCCTTGTGATAGCAATAAAAGTGATCAAGAAAGAAAAAAAACTAAAGCAACAGTGTTAAAATAATAAAGAATTTATTTCAAATAGATTTTTATGGAAAGGATTTTAAACAAATACAATAAAGTTCAACGTAAAAAAAAAAACATTGTAGTTCACATTAGAATGAGGTGGTAAGTAGAGGTATACATAATCTGAGAGAATTTAAAAAAAGGTTTTAAATCGCCCCTGTCCCCAAAGGTGAATGCATGTGTTGGTCCTGAACACATGCAAAGAGCATTCAGTCCACACTTGTGATGCATCACCGAAAATGTCAGCTCAATGGGCAGGAATTCGAGCACCAGACCTCCTCTATAAAGGCTTTCAAAGCGTCGCCTATGGATAGTAAAATATACATTATTTGTTGTTGCTGCTGCACGGGTGTGCGCAATTGTAAAGCGTAACATGTTTGGTATCTATTTATTCAGAGTAACATCATCTTTTACCAAAAAAACTGGGTTTAGTATTGTTTTTTTTTTTACATTAGAATTCAAAAGAGTATTATTCCAAAAAAAAAAACAACAAAAAACAAACTGCGTTTCCAAAACTGCTACACAAATACCGTGTTACATTAAACAAAATGCAAAACCCACCAATTTATTCTCTAGGGCCTCTGCTTTAAAAAATATATATATGTGTAGGGGTTCTAAGAAATGTTCTAGCAGTTTAAGTCACCATAAAGCCCCTCTTGTTTTTAAAAGCCCCAGACATTCCTCAAAGCACCTCTGTCTATTAAAAACAACATCAACCCTTCATATTTTCCATCATGGCAGCATTATTTATTTTTTTTATCAGGACAAGCAGATTGTCATGTGGGACAAGTAGACTGGAACCCCAATTTAGTCCAGGGAAAAGTAGTTTCTTCTTAAAAAAATTCAACTCCCCTGTAATAGACTTCAACCTGTTACTTTTTAAATTTCTCCACCTGGACCAGGGTGGGTTTATTCCTGGTGGAGAAGAGCTAGAAAACACGAAAACCATTTTACTTATGCAACATGCTCAAACATCTTGTGTTTCCATGTGTCTCTTAGCAGCTGATGCAGAGAAAACATTCAAAAGGGTGAACTGGTCCTTTGATATCTAGCATTCTTGCTTTAACCGCTTGAGCCCCAGTCCCTGCATGAAAACGTTTGCAGGGCAGCACGCCTGCGCAAAACCACATTTTAAAACGTAGTTTTGCAAAACAGGTAGGGGGCGCGCGCCCTACCTGTCCCGCGGGTGTCAGCAGCGGGTCTCAGCCGCCGAGTCACGGCCGGTCATTACCGGCTGTTTCCCCGCGATTAGCGGCAATCGCTGACAGAGAGCAGGGCTGCATTGTTTACACACAGCCATGATATCTGTCAGTTGCCTGTCAGCTCCTGACAAGCTGAAGAGGGAGAGAAGAGTTTCTCTCTCCCGATCAGCCTGTTCCTGTCCAGCAAACACCCCCGGCCCCTAGTAAAAGACTCCCCTCACACAGTTAACCCTTTCAGTGAAAAAAAAATGTTAACTCCTTCATCCCCAGTGCCATTAGTACAGTGTCAGTGTTTTTTTTTTTTTTCACTAATGACTGTATTGGTGTCACTGTGGATGTCAGTGACCCCAAGTCAGCTCCCCCCCAGTG